TGCCCTCCTGAAGCTTACTTTTGCTCCCTTGGTTTTAAGGATTAAGAAATAATCACATTGCCCCCGATGCTTTAACATGGTCTCCTAGTGCCCCTGGTAATGCCACTAAGACTGGAAACCAAGGTGCACATTACTTCTCCCCTGGACTTTACCTCACTTGTTAGTCTGCACCCCAGTAAGTCCTCATCCATCCCTTTGGCCAACCTCTGTCTCTTTGAATTTTCTGAGAATGTTGTCCTTCTATCCTCTTTTGTATATGGAGTTCTATCCTCTTTATATCCTGAGACTTTGACACCAGATGTAGATATTTATCTGGAGCTGGAAAGAAAAATTCTTTTTCTGTACCTCATGCCTACCTGGTAATGTTTAATGGGCTATTTCTCTTTGAGGGTGGCTTTCTCTGGAGCATTGGTTAGAGCAGCTTTGTTGTCGTGTTTCTGGATTCTCTTCCCCCTTTTGCATAAATATTGGTCTTATATATTCTTGCCTATCTTGTGGCATATGCCATACAAAAAATTAACTCTGATAAGGACAAGTACTACCTTTTCAAATTCTGAAAGGCTATTACGACTCTTTAATTCTTTTTTCTTTGTGCTCCTCCAAATAGCTTTAAAATGCGGGCTTTTGTGAAGACCACTTTCAAACAAGGGAGCACTGAAACCTGATTTGGATACTGCCAGGATAGGTAGCAAAGGACACGGCATATCCACTCTACATTTTCATTGGCAGTGCACCCTTAAAGCCCTTTCAGTAGATGAGGATTGTCAGGGAGGAGAAATGAAGAAGCTATGTTAATTTCTGGTGAGTAAGAACTGGGGATGTTTGGCAATGACAAAAGAAATAAATGACTCTAAGTTAGAATGATGTTTCCAGTTGTTCTTTGACTCCAACCTGCTACGTGACTCCTTGCTGACACTATGTGGGGATAAAAAGATGGCTAGAGCTGGGGATGAGTTTGATACAAGCTCCAAATGCAGCTGTCTCAGTAGTTCTTTAGCTTCTGAAATCTGCTGGTTGAAATGATTAATCTGAGTTTAAAATGAATTGGTATAGGAAACTTGCCCAGTCTCATTCAGGGCCTTTGCAGGCACTCCTTTTCTTTTTCCTTACCAAGGTTCAGCAGGACTCAGTATAGCCTATCTTGATCACACTGTTGAATTTTTAAGTTTTAAAAAAAAGTTCATTAGAATAACAAACTAAGTTTGACAATATCAGGTATATCTAGATTGTGGAGCAATGTGAAGTTTCATACATGGTTTGTAATGTAAGTTGGTACAATCACTTTGAAAATGATTTGGCAATATTTATAATAGTAAAGTTGAAGATATATACCTTAAGACTCAGCAGTTTCACTCCTAGGTATATACAGAGAAACTCCCTTTGCCTAGGTGTACAAAGAGACATAAAGAAGAGTGATTATCACAGTACAGTTTACGATAGAGACTGGAAATGTGTATGAGAGACTAGTAGCTGTCCACCAAAATCTGCTTTCACCTTCAAAAGTTATAGGACTGTAGGGCAGATGGCTAGACTACATTTCCCAGTTTCCGTCGTCCCCCCAACCTCCAGTCTCCATAGTGAAGAGGTAGAAGCTAACTTCTCTCCTATGGAATGTGAGTGGAAGTGATGTGTGTCACTTCCAGGCCAGAACTTTTAAGGGAGTGAGTATACCTCCATGCTTGCTTTCTCCTTTTCTGGCTAGATGCACATGATGATGGGGCCCTAGGGATTGGGGAACACAAAATGGAAGATAGTTGACTCCCTGAAACACCTAGTGAAGGAGAACCACTTCCCAACCAGGAACATCTATCTGAAACTTAGGTGAGCAAGCAACAAATGTCTGTTATTTGAGACATTATACATTCTTAGGTCTCTTTGTTAGCGTACTCTGATACACAACCTAATTGTCCATCTTTAGGAGAATGGATAAATATGTGATATAGTCATACAGTAGAATACTATAAAGCTATAAAATTAACTAGGGCTTGTATCATCATCATGAATATATCTCAAAAATAATGCAAGTGAGAGAAAAGCAAGTGAGAGAATACATCAAATACTATTTAAGGTGCAGAAACAATGCTCTCTGTGGATATATGTTTGTGTATTCACCTATATTTATGTAAATATCATGAATACACACACAGGATGATAAACACCAAATTTAAGTTAGTGCTTCTGAGATTCAGAGGGATTTCAACTGAATTTGTAATTTCTTAAAGTGGGTTTGTTGGAGCTTCCTGAAATATTTTTTTAAAAGTTAACACAGAAAAAAATATATTATGCTCACCTCCTTCTTAAAAGGGAACACTAGAAACTTTACTTCTGCTTCATCTTTGATTGTCCCTCACTCATCCTATAAACTTCTTCCCCACTTGAGCAGACAGCACTGCTGTGCATCAAGAGGCTTGGGCCAAAAATGTATTAACAGTTTTCGTTGATTCTTTCTTCTAGCAAATCCATTAGCAAGTCTTGTCTACTACCAAATAAATCTCTAATCTATTCACTCTACTCCCACCCCAATCCAAGCCATCATCACCTCTTGCCTAGGCTACAACAATAGCTTCCTAATTGATCTTTTACTTTTTTCTGGCTTGGATACACTCCACATAACAGCTGTAGTGAGTTTTTAAAATTGTAAGTCATTCACCTTCTAAAAGCCCATGGCCTACAAGGCCTCTGTGCTCATACTCCTGCCAACCTTACTAGCCTCATCTTCTCCACCTATGTTGTCTCACCATTCCCTGAATACACTTTAGCCACATGCCTCTTTCTGTTCCTTGAACCTACCATGCTTATTCCCGTCTAAGGGACTTTGCATTCCTTGTTGCCTCTGCCTGGAATGGTTTCTTCCCAGTTTTTGCACAGTATGCTTCATTTTATCATTCAGGTCTTAACTTTCACTTCAGAGCTCTTTTCCATTTATCCTCACTTTCTACAACAACCCTGCTTAATTTTCTTCATAGCAAAGCAGACAAAAAGTAGATTGAGATCTTAGTTGGCCAACCTACTGCTCACTTGGGGGTATGGATGATTTCAAAGTACCTTATCAAATATGTTTCATCCTTTAATGTCTGTAAGCCCTCACCCTGAAAGGGACAGCCATAAACAGTGTACACCACATCCATTATCTGGGATGATAGCAAGTAAAAATAAACTGAGATCAGATGGAAGTTACCCGCGCCTAAATTAGACAAGACAGCAATGGAAGGAGGGGAATTAACAGCTGAAGAATAAGAGTCTAAGATCCTTCCTACCTTTATCAGCTGTAGGTATATATTTTCCTACAGAAAATATATAGAGAATAGGGCATCCATAGAGAATAGGGCTTTAATCTGTCTTGGATACCATGTTTTCCAAGTTTAGTCTTTTCTATGTTTTCAGCTCATGAATTGAGGTATTTAGGTTAAAGTACCTGCATGCTGTCTGAAGTTCTAATTTTGGCATTAAAACTACAGTTTTATTATTTGCACACTCGTATAAGACATACATGAGTGGTAATAAGAAGAGTGATGAAGTAGAAAATTCATTACATTGGAACAGTGATAAGATCAATGGATAATCATGCTTTTATTATTTTTTATTTTTTCAATCCAAAGAACTACTTGAATATTTTTATTTTTAATAACAAAATTCTTTGAGTAACAAAGGAACTACATAAAAATATTTAACATAAAAATTGTTAAAGCTAGAAAGTAAAGGCACATTGAAGGAGAATCCTCTTTTAATCCAATTTTAAATGAATTAACTTTACATACAGAGTTGAAAATTCAGGAAAATTTTGAAGTTCTTCATCACTAATAATTACTGAAAAACATAGTTAATTATATTTTCCTGTAGAGGAGCAATTAAAATATGGGATTATATTCTTATACTAGGATTCAGCATTCAAGTAAATCACTGATCTAAACTCAATGTCATGAATGCAAAAAAAATACAACTTCCCTAAAAATCAGTATACTAAGTTAAAATACTATCCAAGTTCTATTAAATGGGCATAAATATATAGCACACATTAATTATAAAAGGCACTTCATGTGCTATAGAGTACACATGTAAGAAAATGTAATAAATGACTAAAACTAAAGTACTTACTACAATAAACGGTAAGTAATTTTAGTTGCCATCTTAGAATTTAGAATGTTGCTAGGGAAATGGATGGCACAAGACTCTCAAAAAGAGTTGCCCAAATATTTTAAAATTTTCTTTTGATACATTTTCCTGAAACGAGCAGGGGCATTCAGTCATCTCATTAATGCTAGAGGTGTTTCTTCAAAGAAAACATTTTCAAAAGTAAGAGTTGACTTACTAAATGTCCCCTTCATCTTTGCTTACCTTTCCAATATATTCAAAGCTAAAACTGTAGGGGGCTTAGCATCAGATGAAAGGTCATTCTGCCTAACACTGGACTTGCTGTTACCAGAGTACTTTTTCACTCATGAGAAAACTATAGAAGGAGCTATCTGGTCACTGGTACAAACTTTAAAAACAGCTTATAAACATTTTGCTTTTGTCTGCTGAGTTGATCAAAAGGAATGAGGATAAACTGATACTAGCTATTTACTGAGCAGAAAGCACTATTCAAAGTCAATCTGAAATGTTATCCTTAAAGGTACTTTCTCTATAGAGAAATCTAATTTAACCAAATAAATCACACAACTGTTTTCCTTTTACTTCAAGTTGGTTTTCTTGAGCTAGTTTGATGTATGGGTGTTTGGGAAATGGCTAGGTATTAGGGTCATATATTAGGTTAACTGGAGATTTGTGGAACATCTTGTTTATTAACACGGGCTAAGTAAAGAAAAAGCTAGTTAAAGGAAGCTGGTTACACAAATAACCTAGTAGGACTGCTGGAAAAAAGCACCTAATCCTTTACAGGAAGTCACCATGATGGATATTTTACAGTAGTAATCTGAAATCCAAAAGCCTTCCTAACCAGGTTAATGTAGTACCTAAGAGTACTTACTCCAGTTCTTATTTTATCAGTGTTATTTTAAGAATTACTTTGGATTAATTCTTGATTTGGTGCCTGGGGGAGGAGTGGATGTGGTCTTCGGAGCATCCTGTTCTTTTAGGCACCAATTATGCCTTCCTTGCAGTCGTTGCCTCCCCCGGATTAAGCACTCCACATACCACTGTTCCTGCTGCAGCTGCTGCTTCCGATTTTTTAACTGGCTTTGAGTAGCCTCCAACTTCTGGGATTGCTGAGTTAGCTGCAGCAATTTCTTCTGTAACTGCTGGTTCTCTCTGATGATGCCAAGGGAGAACTCAAAAATAGACTGCTTTGCTGCCAACTCCAAGGCCTGGGCATTCCTCTTGTGCTCCCTTCTTTTTCTCTTTCCCAGCTGCCTTATGTCTGGCTCACTCAGTTGTTTCTCCAGCAATGCTTTTTCCTGGAGGAACTGGACCTGTACTTTCTGTTTCTTTGCAGCCGCCTCAGCTTGGACTTTTTTCTCCTCCTCCTGTAATGTCCGTATTTCTAGTTCCTGTGTCTCCCTTAATATAGAAATGTCCCTCATTGCCTGCAATTGCTGTTTCAAATTGGATTGAATCTTTTCCTTTTGCAAGAGCTCTGTTTTAAGCACTGAAGTTTGTTGTTCATATCTGGAGGCTGATTCTTGTCTTCTTTGTTCAATTTCGCCACACTTTTGTACATAGCTGTTCCACAGCTTCTCAGGTTGCCTTCTGTATTCCTCAGTTTTGTTAGTCAGGTATTCCAGGAAGAATTTGTTCTCAGCCTGGACAAGTAACTTTTCTGTTTGTAGCTGCCTGTTGTCCTTCAGCAGCGGTTCCTGGTGGATTCGAGCTTGTTTTATTTGCTTGTTCAGTTCCCTCATTTCCACCAATGTTTTTTCTTTAAGGTTCCTCTCCGCCTTTCTTAGCTTCCCTGGCTTGAAAAAATTATTTATTAGACTAAGACATGATGGAGGGGACTTGAGGCCCTCAGCAAACCTGAAGAAAGAACAAATGAGACAGTCCTCTATCACTTCTTAATAAAAATTTAGGAAATAAAAAATACACAATTGTCCTTTATTCATACAAGAAAATATTTTTGAGCACCCATTATATTCCAGACACCTTGCAGTGGGGTATGGGGGATACAGCTGGCGGTAAAGATGAGGTATGTAGCTTACAATTTACAATATGGGTTCACTACAACACCGCGAGGTACTACCTCAATTTTAAAAAGGAGAAAACAGTTTCAGAGAGTTTAAGTGACTTGCCTGTGATTTACACCGCTAGCAAGTGGCAGAGCCTGACTATGAAACCCAGATTTTAGGACTTACTCCAACACTGTAGCAGCTACAAAGGGCCACAGAAACAGACAGGGTGATGGAGAGTAAGAATAGTTTTCTCTACTCTTTCATCATCTTCCTCTAGTTTCTGAGAGCCCTTCAGTGAGATGGAAGGTGCCCTTCAGTACCTACTTGCACCTGGAATCCAAGCGTTCCTCCCCAACGTCATGGCCACTGTGTAGTTCACTGGGGGTGATTGCCAAGGAGCGAGCACTAGTGTCAAGGGCCTGCGACTCGTGGGAACAGCGTTCAAGCGTGGACAGTTCTCGTAGTTTCTCTGGTCGGTGTGCAGAGGGTCTCGGCACTGCCCAGTAACCCTGGGGGTCGTACCCTGCCCCAGTCGCGCCCCTCACCGCCTCGGCTATTGAATAAGCCCTAGCAGCCGGTTCTCCAGCGGCTCCGCTCCCGGCTCTTGGCGGGGCGAAAGTGGCAGACACATTCCTTGTTTTCTTACTGTGTGAGCCCTGCCCTTGGAATCCCATCTTCTCTCGCCCTCCTGGGGACCAGGGTTTGCCCTTCCCAAGCACTACAGTACGGCGGTCAGAGCCCATCTCCTTGATCCCTCCAGCCTTCCCCTCGCTTGCCCAGCACCCCCACGCCCCCGCCACTGTCACTGGTCGGTCCCTTAGCCGGGTCGGACACTAAGGAGATGCTCGGGCGTCCCTGCCCTTCTCCCTTCCCTTCACCCGCCTAAGGTTCTATTTTCATTCGCAGCCCAGAGCGTTGCGGAAGTTTGTCTAGCCACGCGGCGTCTCCATGGTAGGTGGGCGGGCCCAGGTGGAAGATGGCGGCGCCCGCAGCTGAAGCTGAGCCACAGGCTTCTGGGGGCCCTCGGCCCCCAGTGTGTCTCTTGGTGTTGGGAATGGCAGGATCCGGGAAGACCACCTTTGTGCAGGTGAAAATCAAATCGCGGGCGTAGTAGAGGCGCGTGAGAAGTTGTCTGTGGTAGATGGAAGGCCCAGGAGAAACGGAGGGAGGTCTCTTTGAGGAGTTGGAGGGTACTGACGCGTGAGTTTCATGGACTTCCCATCAACTCCGGTTCTCTCTCCCACCAAGCCTTCTAGGACGCTCGCCAGGTTAATTAAGGCTCCTTCTGCGCACCCTCAGTGCATACTTGGTACAGCTTAACCACGTTGTTCAGGAATTGTCTTGTGGATAAATTGCCAGCTTCTTGGAGGAAGGGGCTTACAAGTAACTCTAGAGATTAATGCAGTGCTAGTATGCAGGTTTTCGATGAAGATTTGCCGAAGAATTATTTCTTGCCCGCCTAGGGCAATTCCTAGTGCTCCAGGCACTGGGAATACAGCAAAAATGAAGTTAACTAGATTCTCGCATTCACGGATCTAAATATTTAACGAAGGAGATAGAAAAAGTCCACCACATACGAACATACAAAACAAGTAAGAGTAGGGGAGGCTCTGTTACGTGGGTGATAAAGAACGGTAGCGTTTGAACTGAGAGTTGAATGTTGGAGGACATAAGGGGTGGATATTTCAGGTAGAAGGAAATCTAAGTGCAAAGTCTTTAGGATGGTCTATAAAGGAATGGAAGTTCTCTCTTGTCCCCTTATCGTCCCCTCTTTGACTCCTTCTCTCTCCCCTTATCTCTGCAGAGGCTCACGGGACACCTGCATAGCCAAGGCTCTCCACCTTATGTGATCAACCTGGACCCAGCTGTACATGAAGTTCCCTTTCCTGCCAATATTGGTAAGTAAACCATACCATAACTTGTGTGAAGTGCTTCAAAGAGAATGGAAAGCCTCCAGCCTGCCAGTCTTTAGTGCTTTCGTTTTGCATTTTTTTTTTTTTTGAGACAGAGTCTCACTGTTGTTGCACTGGCTAAAGTGCAGTGGCGTCATCATAGCTCACTGCAACCTAAAAACTCCTGGGCTCAAGCGATCCTCCTGCCTCAGCCTCCCAGAGTGCTAGGATTATAGGCGTGAGCCACCATGCCCAGCTGCATTTTTTTTCTTAACTATACTTTCATTTCCCTTAGATTTGCTTGAGTCCCTAAACAGGCATCTCTCTTATTCTAATTTTCTCTCTATTTACTCCTTCCTCTTTCCTAAATTTCTTTGTTTCTTATCCATTCACTTTTATCTCTCCCCTCTTTCTGACCCTAGTGTGTCATGCAATTTTTATCTGGGAAAGTGAAGTGACAGAAAGTCCTCTCACTTCTAGGCCGTAAACTCTTCAGCAAACTCTGATACATAAACTTTTTTCATTTAGTTTCTTTTCTCAAAGTTTAGTCAGAGTATAGGGTTCTTGTGCTGTAGTTTACTCATTGATATGTAGGAATCTTACTTCCACACCCAGGCACATGGGAAGATGTGTGTATAATGCATATGTGCAATGTTCTGACAGGAGGTTCCTAATTTTCATCAGACTTTAAGAAGAATCTGTGACTATAAAAAAGATTAAGAATGGATGTGGGCCGGGCACAGTGGCACCGCCTGTAATCCAAGCGCTCTGGGAGGCTGAGGCAGGAGGATTGCTCGAGGTCAGGAGTTCAAGACTAGCCTGAGCAAGAGTGAGACCCCATCTCTACTAAAAATAGAAACAAATTAGCTGAACAGCTAAAAATATATAGAAAAAATTAGCCGAGCATGGTGGCACATGCCTGTAGTCCCAGCTACTCAGGAGGTTGAGGCAGAAGGATTGCTTAACCCCAGGAGTTTGAGGTTGCTATGAGCTAGGCTGACACCACGGCACTCTAGCCCAGGCAACGGAGCAAGACTCTGTCTCCAAAAAAAAAAAAGAATGGAAGAATGGGTGTGATCCAGTGTGATTCTTGATAGGATCTAGGCTTTCTGATTTCTAGGCTGTCACTGTGTGCTAATCCTCTTCCTCTTAATCTTAATTCTAATAAGTTTCTTGTGCCCTAGACGTGCTAATAAAAGGAAGATCTATTAAGAAGCAAGGATCATTTGGGGAAGAGTTTGGAAAAAATTTCTCATCTTTTCACTTAAAGGATGGAATTCTAACAGTTGATGGGGGAAGTCTACAGATTGGTGGATAGGTTTAGGTCAATATTACTGGACAGATTAATTCCTTTTTAAAAATCATTCTGCATTGCCTTTGTCACCAGTAGGCAATTAAAGGTGTATGTATTAAATTTCAGTTAATTTTCTTTTTTGTCCCCCTTCAGATATTCGTGACACTGTGAAATATAAAGAAGTCATGAAACAGTATCCTTTTCCACATCTACTTTGGTGTTGACTCATTGCTAGGTAGTTGTTGTCTGTATATTTTATGGCTTTGAAAAAGTGTTTTTGCCGTTTCCTTATGAAATATACAAGCAAAAACATTGATTGCTTTAATTTTATTAGAAGGATGGAAGATGAATGTGGGAGAGGTATTATAGGTGATCAGAAATACTATTTCAGCTTGTGATTTCAGTTTTATTACCATCTCCCCAGACTGCAGGCTGTTGTAATTAGAGAGCAGAGAGAATGAGAGAATAACTGACACCTGCCTGGGTCCCACAAGGTAGTATTGCCGTGGAGGATCATCCGTTGGTCACCACTTCTTTGCACAGGGAAACTCAGAAATGCATGTGTTTATTAGCTGGATTAATTAATTCTTAGTACATTGCTGTGTGAACTGTGTACTTTCCCAGTGGGTAAATCTAGGAGGACAATTATAATCAGCAGGTTGCTTCATTGATTAGTGAGGATCAGAGCAAGGAGTGTTATATAGGTAATCTTTATTTTTTTTTCCCACTAAATCTTTCATAGGCAATATAGGTAATCTTAATGGCTAAAGCCACCAGGCTGTCATTGCCTGATGCATCTATTACATTCTGTTCACTTTGCTTTCTTTGTATTTATTTTTAGTTTTTGAAATTTTTTTATTTTTTAAGAGACAGTGTCTTACTGCTGAGTGCAGTGGCACAGTCATAGCTCACTGCAGCCTCGAACTCCCAGGCTCAAGCAGTCCTCCTGCCTCAGCCTCCCTAGTGGCTAAGACTACAAGTGCATGCCACCATGTCTGGCTAATTTTTTTTTTTTTTTTTTTTCATAGAGACAGGGTCTCACTATGTTGCCCAGGCTGGTCTTAAACTCTTGGCCTCAAGTAATCCTCCCACTTTGGCCTCCCAAAGTGCTAGGATTATAGGCTTGAGCCACTGTGTCCGACCCACTTTGCTTTCTTTATTTTGCCTGGCCATCCCCAAAATAGTAAATCAGTGAACAAGACCTTAATAGTGAATGTTTCCCTGTGTTGGTTAAGGTTGCATGGTAGTCAAGGATTAGGTGGCCAATATCCATTAATGGAACACCAATGTCATAATGTTATTTGTGTGAGTGAGAACCTAGTTATGAACTTTATAATCTAATCTATAAACAATTTAAGTCCTCAACTTAGTGCATAGATATGGACTTGGGCCCAATGGTGGCATAGTGACATCACTCAATCTTTTTGCTACCAGGTTTGATCAGGTATGTTTGTCTTTACGTATGTCAACATAGCTGTGTGAAAATCTGTGACTCTTAAGTATCTTAGCTTGATTACATTGGTAAGAAGAGCAGCAAACCTGAACATAAATATAGAAAATAAGTAGGCATTTTGGTAAACAGAGAAGTAGACTAGGAGAAGATGATTAGTGTTTTGAGACACTATACATTTAATATTTGTAACAGCCAATAAAACAAAAATCCAAGAGACCTGGCTTTTTTTCTGGACCTATTGCTTGCTTATGGTACTACCCTGAGGATGGGATAGGGTTGGACTAGCAGGCATGGAATAGAAAGATAATGGGGCATTTTACTTGTGACAAATATTTGTCGCCCTTTAGATTTTCTTTGTCACCTACTTCCGTAAGAGTGTTTTATAATCATTGGTTTTTTTACTCTGATGTCACTCCGGGGGACAGGCAATTAACATTTTTCCGGAGCACTGAGAGATATGACTCAATGGTGACGAGTCGGGTATTCAGCTTCTCAGGTCCTTGCGCTGTGCCCCAGGATGTGGTTGCAATGCTGTGATGTGGCAGTGCTTCTTCAGTTCATTGAGTTTATTCATTGGTGTCCTAAGACTGAGAACATAGAGGTTCAGTAGGTGATGGTGCCTATGAGGCATGCCACCCTGGAGAGAGCCCTGTGATTTTGTGTTGAAATAATATCCTGTTCTAATTGGCTTCCTTTTCTTTTAGGTGATGAAATTTATCGAGAAGGCCCAAAGCACGTCTAAGTAAGTGATTTCATTTTAACATTTATTACTCTGTAGTTGACACATTTCTAGGCTTTTGGGATGGTCTGGGATACCATCAGCCTCTGAAATGGTATAGATTAAGATGAAACCATCAGAAGTAAAAGAAAGTGGGCAAGAAAATCATTAAGATGCTGTGGAGTACAGAGCTAAATTTAATATTATCTTACCGCCAGTTACTTTGGCCCCCAATGTACATGGCTTCTTAGTAGTTATTTTGAGACTTTATCCAAATTCAGTTGTCTACCTGTCTTCTCTTGGGAAATCATGCTTGC